GGCTCCAAGTATACAAATAGTACCTGCTTTGGGGTCCAAAGTCTGCAAATGGGTAGTTCTCTAAATTAGGGTCCCTCTTTAGGTCCCCACTATAGTACGGCACCCTTATTAAAAGGACCCCAAAAGGGACCCTAACTTAGAAAACTGCCCAAATAGTACCTACGTTTTGGGCTATTTAGAGCCCCAGGGAACCTACGGCAGTTCCTGCGGCAGCTCCGGCCGAAGAGGATGTTGGCGAGCCCATGGTAGAGAGCCTGGGCTCTTGTTTAAGGGGCTTGAATTAAGTTACCCTAATAGAGAAACCCTGTTATGTACCATAACTTGATCCCGATTATGGCAGCATAAGTTTAAAGAAACCCTGTTATTTAACATAACTAAATCCCTATTCTGGTAGCATAAATTAAGATCCGTCGCCAGAACAGAACCGAGGAGCAGAATGGAGGAGGACCTCGGAGAGCCCTGTGAGGTTGGCGACGTGGCGGAGTCACGCCCGGGCGACACGAACTTCGACTTTGCCCCGCGAGGAGGCGCCGACCGTCCCTGCGGGTTTAGGCCCAGATTTAGGCCGGCATCTTTCCCGAAGCTTTGGCCGCGAGCCAGCATGGCCAGCCGTCGGGCGGCGGGGCGACCCCTGCGCCGATTGAGGCGTATTGTGAGCATTGCCAAATGGAAAGCTTGTAGAAGTTCGTGAGGTGCTGTCACCTCATCTTCACTCCACTTCTCTACAGCGAAGACGTGGACCTTAAGATTTTGGCCCAAAGCGGCTTCTGTACATGTACACCACCTGCTGGGACAGCGGTCCTCCGGGACCGATGAATTTGCCGATGTCCGTCATCTTCGTGATGAGCACCTAGGAGCCCAGTTACCTGCACAGTGGGTTACTGCTCTTGACACGCCATATGAACCTTGTGATATGGTACCTCAAACCCAGTAGCTTTCCATATGGATTGGGTTGCTCCTTAAAGCCTTATATAGTACCCAAAACCCGGTAACCTACTCTATAGATAGCTGGGCTCGTAGGAAGCTACAGCTTATGCACTCAGCGAGTCGTACACTCAAAAGGAGACTCCCCGCAACTCTAGCTTCCTGAAAGCTGTAACGGTGCTGTATTCCCTGTCACAGCCGCTTGGCTTCCTCGTCTCAGGCCCTGAAGTTCCTGCATGATCTCAGTCTGACGCACACGGATCCCTGGCAACAATTTCGATGACACCTTTCGCGACTTTGGGGCATGTCGTAACCCTAAACCCTAAACCCTATAAACCCTAAAAGCGATTGGTTCGTCCCTCGGCATGGCGAGTTTGTGTCGTCGTTTCGAAGACTTTGGCCGAAGTTCCAAAGACGCGCGAAATCCATGGCCCGCACGCCGGCAATCCACCGGCTGCGCTTCGAGTCGTCAAGGTAGTATAGGGGCCTTTAAGGGTTTAGGGTTTCGGGTTTGTAGGGTTTGTAGGGTTTAGGGCCTGAAAACCAGCAAACAGCTGAGAGCCAGCTTCTGTGAGAACAATGAACACGTTAAACCGCCAGCGCCCAGACATACCCCAACTGGGAATGCCGAGGCCATGCCAGGCTACAAGGCCTTACCAAGACCGAGCGTAGAGGAGTCGAACAAGCTGATTGCACGCCAAAGCCTTCACATTTTTCAATACGTGAGAAACCCTCCCGCAAAGAACAAATCTCCATGGATTGAATCTGATTCCTACAGACGCTAAGCCTGTCGGCACGGCTCAGATGCATCGCCCAAGGATTTGAAGCCTGAGAACATCCTTCTGCAAAGCCGGGAGGCTGCGAAGGGGGATTTGGGGATTCTGAGATAGTCACGCCACGCCACCAGAAGCTTCGTTTATGGCTTCTGTATCGCCCTCTGCCATAGAGACCCAAGAATCCAGCTAAATCAGGGTCGCTTAAGGCATAAAACCCTATACACCCCTACACAACCTGTTAGAGTAGCTTCAGGTACAGCCCTGCAAGCCCCTTCTAAATTCCTATGAGCCCTATCACTCAAGTATAGAGCATAGAATCCCATTAAGAACCCTTGGGTCGTGAGAGGCCCTAAACCGCTGACTGAGGAGCTGAGCGTTACCCAGAAGCTAACGCCTGTGACGCCTCCAGAATTAATAGCATCTGAAAATCAAACGGTTTAGGGTTTAGGGTTTAGGGTTTAGGGTTATCTGAGGCCCACAGTCATAGAGTTTTCTACTCAGGAATCGTAGAAGCTGCACCTTAGGGTTTATAGGATTTAGGGTGCCCATGAATTACAAAGACCTGCAGCCCAACCCACAACCCTCCAACCCCCAATTTCTGAGCCCCAAAAAACACAAACCCTTAAACCTCAATCCTTTTCACCGCGCACACCCGTCATGCCAAGCCTTGTCCTCGAAGCCTAAACCCTGAACCCTCTTCCCTAAACCCCTAAACCCGAAACGCAGTAACCTCGCCCCAGGCTTGTCCGAGTTTGAGTGCTCAAACCCTAAACGCCAATCACCCTAGTGTAATACCTAAACCCCTAAGCCCTATACTCCCTAAGCCCAAATGGGGGTTTCCGAAAATAGGGGACCCTAATATAGCACTCCAAAATAGTAGGATCCTTATTATAAGGACCCCCAAAATAAGGTACCCCTTTTTTCGGTAACGCCCAAATCCTATAATCCCTAAGCCAGGTTGCACGCGTGTCGTTCTTCCCACGCTCCGAGTTCCAACCTCCCTCTGACAGGCATCCTGCCAAGAACTTGGCCTTTCAGGGCTGAGGGATTAGGGGTTTAAGGATACAGTCGGGTGTGAAGCATGCTCCCCCTACCTTTCCCAGCAGAGGCGCCGCAGGCTGGATGCAAAAGGATTACAGTCGGGTGTAGCGGTGAAGGGCCTGTAAGGGTTTAGGGATTAGGGGGTGAGGGGGAGAAAGAAATCCGGATTCAAAAAGGCTTAGAGGTTTAGGGTTTAGGGCTTAGGGGTTAAGGGCCTTGAAGGGTTTAGGGATGTGGAGTTGGCGGCCTGGGAGTTGTCTAGGACAGTTTCAGGTGGGTAGTTACCGTTATAGGAGCCTTATAGAAGGTCTATATACCTTATGGAAGCCTTGTAGAAGCCCTATATACCTTAAACTCCCCACCTGTAGTTTCCTTTAAAGTTGAGGGGTTGGTGGAGTTTAGGGTTTAGGGGGGGGCTTTCTGGATTAAGGTGCCGAGTTTGGAAATAGATGGGATGCTTACCACTAGACAACCGGAGGTTGTAGATCATAAGCCCTCCAACCCTTGGCAAGGTCGAGCTGTTTTTGTTGAAACACCGTGCTGTAGAAGTCTGAATACAGCGTTTACTAGACATTGTAGATCCTCTGCATAGCCTGTTTTGCTATACTCCACGTATAGTGTGCTATAACCCAAAACCTTATTCTAGTTCACTGTGCCCTCATATGGGTAGTTCTCTGAATTAGGGTCCCGTTTAGGGTCCTTTTCATAAGGGTGCCGTACTATATTGGGGACCTAAAAAGGGACCCTAAGTTAGTAAACCCGTTTTCATTCCCGAACCCGAAACCTCTCGGGCAGGTATCGGAATCTTCCCTATGCTCGGCCGGCCAGCAATTCTATCAAGCTGATCGACTTTGGGAACGCCACTTATGTGCCCCGAGGGTTTGAGGTGCTTTAGGGTTTCGGGGTTTAGGGTTTAGGGTTTAGGGTTTAGGGTTTCGGGGTTTAGGGTTTAAGGAGCACGTCTGAGCCACGATTCGGCACAGATGACATCGTGAAGTTTGAAGGTCGAGGCAAGTGGGGGTTTCCGAAAATAGGGGACCCTAATATAGTACCCTAAATAGTAGGTTCCTTATTATAAGGACCCCCAAAATAAGGTACCCTAATTTTTGGAAACTCCCAAGTAGACCTACGAAGTCGCACTCGGAATTCATTGTGGCTGATTGACCCTATCGATTTGCGTCCGACTCTAGACCCTGCCCAAAAAACTTATACCCTAAACCCTAGACCCTAAAACAATGAATCTCTATTAAAGACCCTAAACCCCTAAAGGCCCTAAACCCCAAACCCGGGCCCTTGGGGGGTCCCTGGTACATGTCTACGGTTTAGGGTTTAGGGTTTAGGGTCTCAGCTTGTCTTTGGCACAGCTCACCGGTTTGCGTTCTTCCAGGCATTCAGGTGCTTTGGGGTTTAGGGTTTAGGGTTTTTTAGGTGCTTTGGGGTTTAGGGTTTGGGGTTTGGGATTCTTAAGGGTTTAGGGTGTAGGTGCTTTGGGGTTTAGGGTTTAGGGTTTGGGGCTCTGAAGGGTTAGGGTTTAGGTGCTTTGGGGTTTAGGGTTTAGGGTTTTGTAGGTGCTTTGGGGTTTTGGGGTTTAGGGTCTATAGGGGTTTGGGGTTCTTTAAGCAGGGACCTGGGAATTTAAGTTCTCACTGTGATTTCGCATTCTCGTGGACTTCGGACTCTGCTGTAACTGGACGCCGCTGCAATAATGGTAACTCTAGGCGCCGATTCTGGTAACAATTCAAAACCCTAAGGTACACCCGACAGCCTATACTTTGAATCTGAATTGAACACTTGCCATCACTCTGTGCAAGCTCCAGTTAACCCCAAATCTGAAGTAACTCCCCGTGTGAAGGATCTTGAAGGTAAAAGTGCTGCTAACCGGGACTTCACAGAAGTCATTGCAGGCTTCTACTACTCTCTACATCCACCCAGAATCCGCGTCAAAGACCCAAACAAAAAGCACACCCTAAACCCTTCCATCCCAAAGCATGAACAGTAGAGAGCCCCCTAAACCCTAAACCCTAAACCCCTTAAACTTAAAACCCCATGCTCTGAGCTGCACTCACTTAGGGGATCCCCAACTCTAACTCTAACCTGCACTAATTTAGAGAACTCTTACCCAAAGGGTCCAAGTACTAGCATGGTATATACTTTGGGAGCCCAAATGCCTACTAAGTACCTACTATACGGTACTTGGACCCTTTGGGTTAGGTTCTGTTGTAGAATTACCCTAAACCCTAAACCCTAAACCCTAAACCCTAAACTCGAGCCCCTCTGAGCTGCTTCTTGGGTTTAGGGGCTGGACCCTGGCCCTGAGCGTGCGTTTAGGGTTTAGGGTTTAGGGTTTAGGGTTTAGGGCTGTAGCTTGTTGCTTTTGGCAGTGAGGGTTTAAGGCTTAGGTTTTAGGGCTTTGGGTTTAGGGTTTTAGGGTTTAGGTTCAGGGTTTGAGGTTTTTTGGGTTTGCAGTGGGGTTTTCCGGGCTGATCCTCTCCAGCTGTAAACCCCAACAATCTCTCAACACACCAGAGGAAAGGGTGCTTGGTTTCAGGTAGATATGCACCATTCGAGCATCATTCAGACGCGGCAATACCGCTCTCCAGAAGTGACGCTTGGCTCTTTTGGGGTCAGGGTTTCAGGCCCGGTTCAAGGGCTTTGTGGTCTATAGGTAGTGTTTGCGTTGGGCCCTTCGTTTTCTCAAGATGTGTTGATTGCGTGGCGGCTTCGAGCCCGGCTTGCACATCTTGCACTGCGCTCAAGACCAGCTCTCTCGTAAGTGCCTTCAGAAGCAGCCGAATGTGGAACAGCCCTAAACTAGGTAGTATTTTAGGGGTACCCCTTAAAGGGCACCCCTTCTGAACCTTACTTTTGGCTCTCTTAAAAGGGACCTTATTGAGAGGGTCCATATCCCCAAGGGCCCCTACTCCTAGCTCCCATAACCCTAAACCTTAAACCCAATTCACAAATAGTGTTGGGTCGGTGAACGTGCCCTAGCCAATGTGCTTTCGACATACTTGGAACCTCGCCAGGCTTGTCCCAGTTGTGAGTGCTGACAAAACCCAAAACCCCTAAACCCAATAAACCCTAAACCCTAAACCCCTAAACCCAAGAACAGTTTTGAGGATCCTCCAGATTGGTTGGAGCGAGAAAGCGGACATCTGGAGTTTAGGCTGCATCCTCTTTGAGCTCTACACTGGCAATGTGCCTTTGAATGCAGGGTTTAGGGTTTAGGGGCAGAGTTTCTAATGAGATAGGACTACTGAGACTTGTCTTCGCGATCGGAGCGGTGCCGCGCATGTGTTCTAGTACTCATTGTCATAACCGGATTTCGGGACCACACCTGAGCAGCAATGATAGAGACGAGTGCATGTTGAAGGCTTTGCTTGCTAAGAGCTTGGGGGCTACTCCGCTTGGGCGTCCTGAGTTGAGCAACCATTGATCGCACATTTGCTTGCCAAGTAGCTGCGACTTTCCAGCGAAGGTTCTAAAGGTTCGGCAATCAAACGGCTGCCTTCTTCAAAACTGCTAAACCCGAAGCGCAGGAGCATACGGAAAAAGGGGCCGTTGAGCAAATCTTAAACTCAAACCCTAAACCCTAAACGCGTCGTACCAGTTGTTGTCGAAACTCGGTTCTTCCGCCCTTCGAGTTAGTCCATCTAGCTCGAGAGGTTCTTCAGGGCTTGGGGCTTCTAAATTTGGTATGATAGCAGTGCTTGTCCCCTTTTCTGGGAAGCCGCAGCGTGTAAACGTCAAACCCCACGTGCTACTTAGTTCTCTACCATCATGTAGCAGCTTGAAGACGTACTATTCCCTAGGGCTCCTTATTATAGATATAGCCTAGGATGTTCAGTAGTATCCTTTTTACTGTTTTTGGGTATTGGTTCCCAATATAATTTAACTAACCCAAAATAGTATATACCTTTTCCCAGTTGGTTACTGAACAGCTTAGTAGTACAGTATACCCAACCAAAACCCTATGTTACAACATTCGAAGATCGAGCCTGACGCTTAGCCGCAGCCTGGGAAAGCTTTTGAAGCCCTCG